CTTCAGGACATATTAAAGATTATTAAATGTTGGTATGAATGCTAGATCACACATAGACCGTTTTTAGATTTCCCTTTTTTTCTTAATTAGAGGATTGAAATGAATTTAAGAAAAAATTTAAAAGTTGTCAAATTTAGTATGATGTACAGATTACTTAAGTGAGCCTTTCCTTGAATGAAGAAAAGTGCATATTGTATGTTTGATGATGATTAGATTGATCAATTCATTGATTAAAAACCATGTTCATTCTAGGAAGGCAAGATGCTAACTCTGTCCCCCACCCTGTGCTATTACATTTAGCACCATTCCTGAATGTGTTAGATGAGATGTTGAAGCAGCTGATTGCTTCTCTGACACAATTGACTGATGACCACTTCCAAAAGGTAAATATCTTAGACTGACACTTCAACCTTATGAATTTTCCTGATAAATGTGTTAATACAATGATATGTTGCTAAAACCTTTTGGTCTCTATTAAGAATTTTTGATTTTAGGTTTGGGTTTCATTGTTGTGGCACTCACGTTTCATCCAAGCTTGCAAAATGAGTTACAAGAAGATGGATACCATGTTGGCTCAGCTGTCGTTACATTGGGGATGGCTATGTGAGAAAACACTGTTTCAGTTGTTTGGACAAAACAAGTAAGTATACTTTAAACCATTTTACATATAAGTGAGTTAGACTGATTTTCAAAACAAAACAAACACACAAAAAAACAGTAATGACTTTCTTCCTTCAGAATTGACTAATTTTGGTAGATGTATCACAAGAATATGATTGTATAATTTGTACAAAGCAGCATTCTCAATTTCAACAAGTTGGCTGTATTTTGGTTTTTCAGTATTCCAGCAGAATTAAAGGCTGTGACAGGAAGGCTAGATGACATCCTAAGCATGGACAACCAGGCCAGCAAAGTCCAGCAGAAGATCAGTAAGGTCTTTGGCTGCCCTAGACCTTTTAAATCTGAAGAAGCAGCAAGGGCTGTGTTGTCTGTGGAGGCCATAAGCAGAGCACTCAGTTTAAACACAGGAGTGCAACTTGGAGATGTTGGAGAAAAAGAGAAGAGGATTGCCTGTTATCTGTGCCAGTATGGAGAACCTGTGAGGCATAAGTTGGTGCAGCTGATGTCTGATCTTTATTGCCAATCCGAGGATGCTGATTTGGGTAAGTTCCACTTTCAATCATTTACTTTTAGAACATTCTGTTTTAAGACTAAAGTTTACAAATTTTATGGTTATCGAGCATTCAAAATATGTGCACCAAAGCTATGGAATTACTGACACGAATGAATAAATATTATTATCTATTTAGGTATCTGCTTGGCAATGAGATTTATGCAAGGAATTGATGAATTGATTGTTCTGAAATAATAGTTGAAGTATTTGTGAAGACTGGTGATTTATTTTATTGTGTGGGAAGTGTTTTCTTTTTTTGTCAATTTTTGCCGTGGATAGGGTAATGCAAAGATGAGTGGTCAGGAAAAAATTAACAGCTTTAAGACATTAAACATACTCAAAAGTCATCAATTTCTCTTTCAGAAACTTTCAATAAAGCCATTGCAGAGCTGGAAGTGGAATTGACAAAGCACAGTTTATATACTCCACACTCCAGCTCTATGGAATTGGACACACCGCTGGAACCATTGGCATTCAAAGCTGACAGTCTTCTCACCAAGATAGCAATGTGGCCAGTGTGTTTGTATTTTGAACTCCTACAGGAGCAGAAGATATTGTTAAATTTGACCACTGGAGGGAACAAAGGAGAAATACAAACCTTCATAGAATATTGCCTGACATTTTTACCAGCGGAAGCCAACCATATTGCACCATATGCCCTGTTTCTACGTGAAGGCCAAAAGGTAATAAAATGGTAGTGCATTTAAGTTAACCATCTGAAAAATGTTTATCTTTGGAGGTTTCTTTTCACTGTTGCTGAGTCATGAATAAGGGCCAGTATTTTGGTTTAATGTTTTGGGCATATCATTAATTTTTCAGGATGACTTGTTCTTGGAATTAAGAAGTCAAATGTGTCTGCAGTTGATGAAGCAAAAGATGACCAGTTTTGATCACATGGTACAGAGGTTGATACAGATGTCAGGGGCTGGAGCTGATATTGAAGAGACAGAAATTAGACAGGTGGTGAGTATCCCAATTTTCTGAAACAAGTGTTTCTGTAATTAATCAGCTCATTCCTCTGCTTCTTTGTAGCAAATTACAACTACCATGTCTCCTTCAGAAACACCTCCTTTTGTCTAAATGATAATGACAAAAGGCCCCTACTTGTTCTCTCTTCATCTATACCCTTAATTCTTCCACCTACATCTTTTGTGACTCAGTTGTAAGAGCATATAAGATTTGACAGGGTTATTTTCATCGAATCAAAACATTACCAAATTAAAGGAACTGAAGAAATGGTCAGGGCATGGTTCACCCACATTTCCTCATTTTGTGATTGCTGTTGTCCAATTTCCATATCTGTGAGTGAATAAAGAAAAGTTGGCAATGAATTTGCATATCTACAGAAACTAAAACCAGGTTGTTAGTCATTTCCAAGAGTTTGTCAAATGCTGGAAATCTCTTGGAACAGATACCCAGCAATAGCAGTGTTCACAAGACCCAATGTGTAAAATCTTTCACTAAATAGTTTTCCTCAGAGCAGGATTTAACCTCCTTGATTTTGATTCACACCTTTAAATTGCAGCTGGACTTACAATTTGTTATTGTTAGGCCAGTCATTGAACTATAAGCTCCATACCTTCATTATCTCAGATTGAAAAGCTTTGAACAAATCTAGTTGAATTTAATGATTGCTTTTTCTATTTGTCATGCCTTTTATTGCATCTTTTTATTGTGTTTTTTACCAATCTTTGTTGTGTTCTATGGTTGCTGTTATGCATAATTCCTATGTGTGTCTCTCTTTGCCCAGATTAGCAAGTGGGTTCAAATTAGCATAGTGTGTTGAGAAGTGGCTTCAATAGACTAGTATCCTTTCCAGGAAGGGTGGAAACTAAGTTGTTTCAGGTCTCAAAAACTGGGGATAAACATCCCATTCTGTGGTCTCCATGCTTGAATATAGATTCAGTATTTCACTAGTTAAATCATGCATGGTCTTTCTGAATTTGTCAATAATTAAAAGACAGACCAGCAAAATCATCTTTTAATTATTAGACTATATTAAAATCTAAATTTCTCAAAGCCCTTATCTCACTATTAAGGGTATGTTTTAAAAATATCTTTCAGGTCCACGGAAGCTCATGTGTTCCATCATTGAGCCTCTCTGTCTTCAGACTGGTGTTAGGGGATGACCTGGGCCATTCAGGGGCCAGTGGAACCGAGATGTCGGCCATATTGATTCCTGCCACTGCTGGGCAGTCTCAGGAGAAAGTGGCCCAACTGAGGTTACTTTCCAGACAGCTGTGGGTACATGCAGCAAATGTAGCCACAGAGGACTGGGACAGAGGGTACATTGGATTAGATATCTCATGACATAAGCATTTATACTGTTGATAAATTATGTCGTAACTGTCTTAGATTTCACAAAGTTATTATTGTGTTTGCCCTTTAAAAAAAGCTACCTAGCCCCCTCTTGCTAAGAACTTTTCTGTGTCATAGAGATTGGATAGCCTCGTGGCATAATTTATTACTGATAATTTAGTTTCCATAGAGAAATGTTTTGAGTAGCATTAGTAATGAATAAGCAATCTTCATAGTTAACTTATTTGCCATTTTGATTCTATACTTCTTAGCCTATATTTACAAAACCAGTTTTGTTCTGAAAGAGATACTAATATTTTTCTTTTCATTTTCCAGTTGTCTTGATAACAAGTGTTTGACCTCATCACTGAAGATGATTCTAAAGTGTCTGACTTCTCTGTCATCTGGTGATCACCACAGTTATCTTGAAGATGCCATTTTTGAAGTTTTCAAGGATGACATCAAAGAAATAAACAAGGAAGCAGCATTGTCTGTAATCAAGGACCTGAATGCACAACAAGTTTTGCCAGACTCAGTCTTGAAGTTGGTGGAAGATCTTACCAAAAGATTTGTTGTAGAGAAGGAGAGACGTGTCCATGCCAAAGAATCATATCTTATGCAGGATTGTGGCAATGCCGTTTATACTGCTGTCACACAATTCATGGACTCAGATGAAGAGTTTTCCTGTTCTTGTACTCTGGCTTATGTTGGCTTGTTACAAGTTTTTCTATTGGCTCCCCAGGGACCTGTAGATCCCATAGAAAAGCAAGCCATTAAGTTACGGTACATAGGAGAAGAGGTGAGTTTTCAATGATACATAAATGAATACATTATAATGTTATCATAATTGAAAATTTGCATCTAGCAGCAAGAATGAAAAAGTAGTTTGATGCTATTTACTTGGACAAAAGATAACATTACTGCATTTTACCAATGTATTATTATTTTTAATTAGTGAAAAATGTTATATCTAGAAACAAACTAGATAGCAGCCAGCCATGTACAAATTGTATTTCATTCCTTGTAGCTTGATGAAATTGGCGCTGAGGTGAGGGTGAGAAAGTGGAACCATGAACTGCAGACCGGCTTATCATGGGATGTGAAATCAGTAGCACACCAACATCCCAGGTTAAGATATCTGGCTGAGAGAGGAGACTTACTGAGGAACAAGGCAGATAAATTAAGAGAGAGGATTGCCACAAGACCTACTCCTTCACAGGTATGTTTTAAGATATTATTTTCTCATTTCCTCTTGATTAGAAGCTATTACAGGGCATGAATCAGCATAATATTTTTTGCCATTGCTTTCAAGAATAAGGAACATAGATCACAAGTCTTCAGAGTGACAAGTTTCGTGTTGTTCATTTTAGGAAAACGAGAGAAAGATTGTAGTTACACTTGATTTGATGGTTGCTCTGCATATATGTTTATGTTATTGTATGTTAGTTCCCAGTCCTGCTCCAAGATGTCAGGCAATTTCTACAAAGTGTCTGCTCAGTAGAGAAGGTCACCTCCATGTTGAACAAGCTTCAGGTCTGCTGGAGCAGCACACAGTCTTCCGACAAGGAACTGCAAGAAATGAAAAGATGTCTGAGGGAAGTGGGAGCTTGGCAAGCCACTGCCTGGCACTTTGTGCATAGGATGGAGGAGCAGTATCCATTGTACAGGGACCTACTGGGACCCTTCCTAGCGGGAGTAGCTCAGGTGATCAATAAAAAAAATTATGAACGATCTTGTACTCTGACCTCAAATGTCATCTTATAACTTGTCTGTGTGCAATAACTTGTATGAAATAATGAATTTAGACTAATCATATCACTTAATGTTTCTCTAAAATTTAATATTTGGGCTATTAAAATTTAGGATACAATTTGTTAATTCCAGGTGGTATGTGGCCTGAGGAGGATGTGTGACATGGTTGACATGAAAGAGAATAGACTGACATTGCTCCCAAAACTGGACTGGAGGGTAAGGTTATAGATATATACATGCATATTTTTTCAAATGTAGGAGATTGTACTTAAAAGTATTAGTCTGTATGATATTTCAAGAGAATAAAGAATGTGTGTTTGTGTGTGGGTGTGTGATTTGGAAAACTTCAATTTGTATTAACATAATACCATTGGTGTACTGATACAGATTGTTAAGTATTTGTCTGTTGTAGCTAAATTGTTACATACATTTTCATGTCTTCTTCCAGACACCGTACTTAGAAAATCTTATTCTAAGCCTCTGTAGATTCCCATTCATCACTGAACACTTTCCAAGTTCACTCCATGTGGCCCAGCATCTCCTGAAAGACATAAACATGGCTGTAGTACAGACACTGTCAAATAGGTCAACTGATGATAAATCTGCTTCTAATCTTAGTCTCCAGGCTAAGTAAGTTGAAGACATGGTTGTATGTTGAATTGTTAAATCTTTAGATTAAATCCAGCTTGTGACATTTATTCTTTGATTAGAATGTATCAAAATTATTGCAAATCAAACTACAATTTTCTTCACATTATGGGTTACAAGACGTGATGAGAATATACCTAAGGTCATAATGAAGAAATGAAAGTTGCATTCTTTCTTGAATATGTTAAATTACATCTGTACAAGCCAATGTTTGTTTTATTATTCTAATCAGCTTACTGAAGTGCTGTTTGCTACATCTTCAAAACTATGCCCTGGTGTCTGGACAGTTGGACAGCAAAGTACTGTACACACTGTCCAAGGTTCTCCATCATTTTGTAACATCATGGAGAGAAGCGGAAGAGAGAAAGAAACAGAAGGAACTGGAAGAAGCAAGTCTTTACAGGTATAAGCCCACATCTCATGGTGATGAACTGACAGAGGAAGAAAGAGAAGAACTGGACTTTAAGCAGTCATTCCCTCAGTTTGATAAGGTAAGTATCATAATGAAGAGTTCAGTTTGCAGGTGTGTTTTATGTTGATTTATATCATATTTTTAGGATTGTTTCTAAATTACTGTACTTTTGACCGTCAATGCACTAATTCATAAATGCATCTCATATTTATCATAGAATATGTGTTACAGTCACAGTTAAAAACCAAATGTTTGCAAATTGAAGCATGAATCACACTAAGCTGTACTTTTACCATAATCATATTTTAGGATTTTGAAGACGTCAGTATTGGGTTCACCCTGGAAAGTAAACTGGAGCCGGAAACATCCCAGCAGCCATCTGATGAAGCTGACAGCACAGGTGTGACTGACACAACTCTCACTGAGCAGGAAATGGCTGAAATCTGCAGACTACATAGTTATTTGTTCTCCACTCTCACCACTACTGACTGGTTACCTGACCGTCGTAAAGATGCTAGGAAAAGTGTGAATTATGTGGATGCCATGTTGCCTGGTTATAGAGCAGCTAAGGATCTGTGTTGTAGTAGCAGCAAAGCCTTGGGTGAGTGGTCTACTTGTTTATGTTTTTGTGCATTTTATAAAGACATTATCTTTAGTATCTTGAAAGAGGAAGTTTTATTTTATGCTATTTTGTTTTGGAAACAGTACAAGATAATTGATGACATAAATGTAACTTGTATATGATTTTGTTCACTAAAAAAGAAGTTTTAGAATTTTACAATGCATCTGACTCATTTTCAGATGGCAGTATTGACCAGAATCTCATTGGAGCACATTTACTTGCCAGTGGTCATCTTCAAACCACAATTAAGGGTGATTCTGTCATGGTAAGCACTTGCTTTTTCGTCCCGAATTGTATTAGATCTTCATGTACCAAACAGAAGCTCGATGTATATTACTGAACATACTTTTAGAAGTTTTTCTACAAGATTTCATCGTTCTTACAGGAAGCAGACCCACTATTGAGCAGGGCTGACAAACCGTATGATATCTATCACGACTCTAATGTCCCAGAGGTTATCCAGTGCAGGCCTGTACTAGAGAGGTTTACTGCTGGAGTTAAAGCACTGCTGAAGGACTGGCCTGACCATCCAACACTGAAACAGGTATTTTTTGTCTCAGTCAAGCCCAAAAGTATTAAAGCTTCTCCTTGTGAATGGTTCTGGTTCTTGCTACCTGTCCAGATCTTTCATAGTACTTGATGACATTGTCATTTTTTCTAGTTGATACAAAGTTACACGTTTTAACCTATTGTACCTTATTAGGTAGACAATTAAGAGGCAGGTTATTAAGATACACTGCTACTGGACACTACGGGTGTGACTGTACTTTTTCAGATCCTGCTGGTCATAGACCGCCTACTGTCCTTCCCTGTCACCAGTGCTCTGATGAAGTTTGTAACTGGACTGGAAGTTTTGGTGCAGAAAGCACAGGCAAGTGGAAGTGTTTTTGTAGGTGGAAAGGGGGACCAGTTCAGCATAATTGTTCCATTTCTATTGTGAGATCTGAATAGATGACACAGTATTCTCTCCCAGTAACTGGTGTATTAATATTTGTCTCTGTTTTTAGGAGTGGGAGTCCAATGCAGCCCGCCATGTTTCGCTGATAAGCCATATTGAAGAGGTCACAGCTCTTGTCATACAATGGAGGAAACTGGAGTTGAAGTAAAATTTAGATTGTTTTCTGTTGTTTCTTTTAATGAAATAGAAATTTTATCAAGTATTTGATTACATGTTTAAGATTTTTTCAGATCTCTGTTAATTTCTTTACTTGTTTTAATAGTTTAAAACTTTCAGTAGTTTTTTTTATCTTGTTTTAGATGTTGGAGTTCTTGCCTGCATACAGTGATGTGGAAAGTAGAGGAGAAGACATCAAGATGGTGGTTTCACATTTACCAGCTTATTGAAGCCTTCCTGAGTCCTGATGAAGAGGTAGTGTAATTGCTCTAGCTTGATTGCTCTTTTTCCTTTTCTTTTTTATAAAACAGTTTATTATTTTTATATCATATATGATTTCTAGAATACAGGCCTCTATTTAACATTTTTTTATTTCTCAGATGCAGAAATTTTCATATTAAATAGGGGTTGACACATTGAGCACATTTTATGAAAAATGATTATATTTGTAATATTTTTAGAAACAAAGCACAGAAGATGGATGTGAGTTTCAAAAGTCACTGCAGCAGTTCCTGGAATCAGGCATTCTTGGAGATTACAAGGCCAGGTTGAACCTGTTGTATGCCTTCCACTGCCAGGTTGCTAACATGGACAGAACTCCTCAGCAAGGTGGAGCAGATATGATTGCACTATATTTTGCTTAAACACTTAAGACACTTATATACTGAAATTGCTTTTGTTATCGAATGCTAGAATGAAATCCTACCAGATTCTGAACTAAACTAAGTGCATGTTTGTTTTGAACATATATTAATAAGTCTTTAAAATAAATTTATTGCAAATTAATCTGTTGCCATATAATAATAAATTTGCTTGACATGAAAGTAAAAATCGGGTCCATATTTACTTGTGGATTTTTATTATAGAGCTTGTGTTAAATCTGCTGTGGAATGTATACCAGTATTACTCTCAATTCTTGCCTAATGTGGAAAGACATCTGGCTCAGCTCAGGGCTCCTATTGAGAGAGACCTCAAGGTATGTGTCATGTTATTACTAACAAAGAGTTGAAAATAGGATAAAAACTTCTCAGCAGTTGCTATAAATAGTTTCAAATGATAATGTTCATAATGCTAATGCTCATTTTCGATACGTTCTTGGAAACTTCAAGATGTCAGAAAGTAAAACACTAAACTTTTTTTATTGTTACTGTATTTTTCAGGGTTTTGTTAAGATTGCTAGATGGAATGACAGCAACTTTTGGGCAATGAAGCAGGCAGCAGAGAAGACCNATCAGCATTCTCAATTTCAACAAGTTGGCTGTATTTTGGTTTTTCAGTATTCCAGCAGAATTAAAGGCTGTGACAGGAAGGCTAGATGACATCCTAAGCATGGACAACCAGGCCAGCAAAGTCCAGCAGAAGATCAGTAAGGTCTTTGGCTGCCCTAGACCTTTTAAATCTGAAGAAGCAGCAAGGGCTGTGTTGTTTGTGGAGGCCATAAGCAGAGCACTCAGTTTAAACACAGGAGGAGTGCAACTTGGAGATGTGGGAGAAAAAGAGAAGAGGATTGCCTGTTATCTGTGCCAGTATGGAGAACCTGTGAGGCATAAGTTGGTGCAGCTGATGTCTGATCTTTATTGCCAATCCGAGGATGCTGATTTGGGTAAGTTCCACTTTCAATCATTTACTTTTAGAACATTCTGTTTTAAGACTAAAGTTTACAAATTTTATGGTTATCGAGCATTCAAAATATGTGCACCAAAGCTATGGAATTACTGACATGAATGAATAAATGTGCAATATAGAAATAACTAAATATTATTATCTATTTAGGTATCTGCTTGGCAATGAGATTTATGCAAGGAATTGATGAATTGATTGTTCTGAAATAATAGCTGAAGTATTTGTGAAGACTGGTGATTTATTTTATTGTGTGGGAAGTGTTTTCTTTTTTTGTCAATTTTTGCCGTGGATAGGGTAATGCAAAGATGAGTGGTCAGGAAAAAAATTAACAGCTTTAAGACATTAAACATACTCAAAAGTCATCAATTTCTCTTTCAGAAACTTTCAATAAAGCCATTGCAGAGCTGGAAGTAGAATTGACAAAGCACAGTTTATATACTCCACACTCCAGCTCTATGGAATTGGACACACCGCTGGAACCATTGGCATTCACAGCTGACAGTCTTCTCACCAAGATAGCAATGTGGCCAGTGTGTTTGTATTTTGAACTCCTACAGGAGCAGAAGATATTGTTAAATTTGACCACTGGAGGGAACAAAGGAGAAATACAAACCTTCATAGAATATTGCCTGACATTTTTACCAGTGGAAGCCAACCATATTGCACCATATGCCCTGTTTCTACGTGAAAGCCAAAAGGTAATAAAATGGTAGTGCATTTAAGTTAACCATCTGAAAAATGTTTATCTTTGGAGGTTTCTTTTCACTGTTCCTGAGTCATGAATAAGGGCCAGTATTTTGGTTTAATGTTTTAGGCATATCATTAATTTTTCAGGATGACTTGTTCTTGGAATTAAGAAGTCAAATGTGTCTGCAGTTGATGAAGCAAAAGATGACCAGTTTTGATCACATGGTACAGAGGTTGATACAGATGTCAGGGGCTGGAGCTGATATTGAAGAGACAGAAATTAGACAGGTCGTGAGTATCCCAATTTTCTGAAACGAGTGTCTCTGTAATTAATCAGCTCATTCCTCTGCTTCTTTGTAGCAAATTACAACTACCCCATCTCCTTTAGAAACACCTCCTTTTGTCTAAATGATAATGACAAAAGGCCCTTACATGTTCTCTCTTCATCTATACCCTGGATTCTTCCACCTACATCTTTTGTGACTCAGTTGTAAGAGCATATAAGATTTGACAGGGTTATTTTCATCGAATCAAAACATTACCAAATTAAAGGAACTGAAGAAATGGTCAGGGCATGGTTCACCCACATTTCCTCACATAACCACAATGTGATTGCTGTTGTCCAATTTCCATATCTGTGAGTGAATAAAGAAAAGTTGGCAATGAATGTGCATATCTACAGAAACTAAAACCAGGTTGTTAGTCATTTCCAAGAGTTTGTCAAATTGGAAATCTCTTGGAACAGATACCCAGCAATAGCAGTGTTCACAAGACCCAATGTGTAAAATCTTTCACTTGATAGTTTTCCTCAGAGCAGGATTTAACCTCCTTGATTTTGATTCACACCTTTAAATTGCAGCTGGACTTACAATTTGTTATTGTTAGGCCAGTGATTGAACTATAGGCTCAATACCTTCATTATCTCAGATTGAAAAGCTTTGAACAAATCTAGTTGAATTTAATGATTGCTTTTTCTATTTGTCATGCCTTTTATTGCATCTTTTTATTGTGTTTTTTACCAATCTTTGTTGTGTTCTATGGTTGCTGTTATGCATAATTCCTATGTGTGTCTCTCTTTGCCCAGATTAACAAGTGGGTTCAAATTAGCATAGTGTGTTGAGAAGTGGCTTCAATAGACTAGTATCCTTTCCAGGAAGGGTGGAAACTAAGTTGTTTCAGGTCTCAAAAACTGGGGATAAACATCCCATTCTGTGGTCTCCGTTCTTGAATATAGATTCAGTAACTCACTAGTTATTTCATGCCTGGTCTTTCTGAATTTGTCGATAATTAAAAGACAGACCAGCAAAATCATCTTTAAATTATTAGACTATATTAAAATATCAATTTCTCAATGACCTTATCTCACTATTAAGGGTCTGTTTTAAAAATATCTTTCAGGCTCACGGAAGCTCATGTGCTCCATCATTGAGCCTCTCTGTCTTCAGACTGGTGTTAGGGGATGACCTGGGCCATCCAGGGGCCAGTGGAACCGAGATGTCGGCCATATTGATTCCTGCCACTGCTGGGCAGTCTCAGGAGAAAGTGGCCCAGATGAGGTTACTTTCCAGACAGCTGTGGGTACATGCAGCTAATGTAGCCACAGAGGACTGGGACAGATGGTAAATTGGATTAGATATCTCATCATATAAGCATTTATACTGTTGATAAATTATGTCGTAACTGTCTTAGATTTCACAAAGTTGTGATTGTTTTTGCCCTTTGAGAAAGTTACCTAGCCCCGTCTAGCTAAGAACTTTTCTGTGTCGTAGAGATTGGATAGCCTTGTGGCATAATTTATTACTCATAATTTAGTTTCCATAGAGAAAAATTTTGAGTAGCATTAGTAATGAATAAGCAATCTTCATAGTTAACTTATTATTTGCCAATTTGATTCTATACTTCTAAGTTTATATTTACAAAACTGAAAGAGATATTCAAACCAGCAATCAATATTTTTCTTTTCTTCATTTTCCAGTTGTCTTGATAACAAGTGGTTGACCTCCTCACTGAAGATGATTCTAAAGTGTTTGACTTCTCTGTCATCTGGTGATCACCACAGTTATCTTGAAGATGCCATTTTTGAAGTTTTCAAGGATGACATCAAAGAAATAAACAAGAAAGCAGCATTGTCTGCAATCAAGGACCTGTTGAATGCACAACAAGTTTTGCCAGACTCGGTCTTGAAGTTGGTGGAAGATCATACCAAAAGATTTGTTGTAGAGAAGGAGAGAAGTGTCCACGCCAAAAATTCATATCTTATGCAGGATTGTGGCAATGCCGTTGATACTGCTATCACACAATTCATGGACTCAGATGAAGAGTTTTCCTGTTCTTGCACTCTGGCTTATGTTGGCTTGTTACAAGTTTTTCTATTGGCTCCCCAGGGACCTGTAGATCCCATAGAAAAGCAAGCCATTAAGTTACAGTACATAGGAGAAGAGGTGAGTTTTCAATGATACATAAATGAATACATTATAATGTTATCATAATTGAAAATTTGCATCTAGCAGCAAGAATGAAAAAGTAGTTTGATGCTATTTACTTGGACAAAAGATAACATTACTGCATTTTACCAATGTATTATTATTTTTAATTAGTGAAAAATGTTATATCTAGAAACAAACTAGATAGCAGCCAGCCATGTACAAATTGTATTTCATTCCTTGTAGCTTGATGAAATTGGCGCTGAGGTGAGGGTGAGAAAGTGGAACCATGAACTGCAGACCGGCTTATCATGGGATGTGAAATCAGTAGCACACCAACATCCCAGGTTAAGATATCTGGCTGAGAGAGGAGACTTACTGAGGAACAAGGCAGATAAATTAAGAGAGAGGATTGCCACAAGACCTACTCCTTCACAGGTATGTTTTAAGATATTATTTTCTCATTTCCTCTTGATTAGAAGCTATTACAGGGCATGAATCAGCATAATATTTTTTGCCATTGCTTTCAAGAATAAGGAACATAGATCACAAGTCTTCAGAGTGACAAGTTTCATGTTGTTCATTTTATGAAAACAAGAGAAAGATTGTAGTTACACTTGATTTGATGGTTGCTCTGCATATATGTTTATGTTATTGTATGTTAGTTCCCAGTCCTGCTCCAAGATGTCAGGCAATTTCTACAAAGCGTCTGCTCAGTAGAGAAGGTCACCTCCATGTTGAACAAGCTTCAGGTCTGCTGGAGCAGCACACAGTCTTCCGACAAGGAACTGCAAGAAATGAAAAGATGTCTGAGGGAAGTGGGAGCTTGGCAAGCCACCGCTTGGCACTTTGTGCATAGGATGGAGGAGCAGTATCCATTGTACAGGGACCTACTGGGACCCTTCCTAATGGGAGTAGCTCAGGTGATTAATTATAAAAATTATGAACAATTTCTACTGTGTCATCTTACAATTAACTTGTCTTTGTGCAATAATTTATATGAAATTAGGAACTTTGATTAATTATATCATTTAATGTTTCTCTAACATCTAATTCTTGGTCAATTAAAAGTTTTGATTGAATACAATTTAATTCCAGGTGGTATTTGGACTGAGGAGGATGTGTGGCATGGTTGACTTGAAAGAGAATAGGATAACATTGTTCCCACATCTTGACTGGAAGGTAAGTTAATTTATAGATAAGTCCAGAGTTTTTTATTTGCAAGAGGTATTCTTGATTGTACTTTAAAGGATATTAGTATACATGATTTTCCAAGAGAATAAGTGTGTGTGTTTGTTTTGCAAGATGATTCAGTTTGAACATTTGTACTTACATAGTATCATTGGAGTATTGATACAGATTGCCAAGTATTTGTCAGTTGTAGCTAAATGCTTACGTATATTTTCATGTCTTCTTCCAGACACCATACTTAGAAAATCTTATTCTAAGCCTCTGTAGTTTCCCATTCGTCACTGAACACTTTCCAAGTTCACTCCATGTGGCCCAGCATCTTCTGAAAGACACAAACATGGCTGTAGTACAGACACTGTCAAATAGGTCAACTGATGATAAATCTGCTTCTAATCTTAATCTCCAGGCTAAGTAAGTTGAAGACATGGTTGTACGTTGAATTGTTAAATTGTTAGATTAAATCCAGCTTGTGCCATTTATTCTTTGATTAAAATGTATCAAAAGTATTCCAAATCAAACTACAATTCTGTTCACTTGATTAGTTACAAGACTTGATGAAAATATACCCAAGGTCATAATGAAGAAATGAAAGTTGCATTCTTACTTGAATATGTTAAATTACATTTGTACAAGCCAATGTTTGTTTTATTATTCTAATCAGCTTACTGAAGTGCTGTTTGCTACATCTTAAAAACTATGCCCTGGTGTCTGGATGGCTGGACAGCAAAGTACTGTACGCACTGTCCAAGGTTCTCCACCATTTTGTAACATCATGGAGAGAAGCAGAAGAGAGAAAGAAACAGAAGGAACTGGAAGAAGCAAGTCTTTACAGGTATAAGCCCACATCTCATGGTGATGAACTGACGGAGGAAGAGAGAGAAGAACTGGACTTTAAGCAGTCATTCCCTCAGTTTGATAAGGTAAGTATCATGATGAAGAGTTCAGTTTTTGGGTGTATTTTATTTTGATTTATATTATATTTTTGAGGATTGTTTCTAAATTACTGTACTTTTGACCATCAATGCACTAATTCATAAATGCATCTCATATTTATCATAGAATATGTGTTACAGTCACAGTTAAAACCCAAATGTTTGCAAATTGAAGCATGAATTACACCTAGCTCTACTTTTATCATAATCATATTTTAGGATTTTGAAGACATCAGTATTGGGTTCACTCTGGAAAGTAAACTGGAGCCGGAAACATCCCAGCAGCCATCTGATGAAGCTGACAGCACAGGTGTGACTGACACAACTCTCACTGAGCAGGAAATGGCTGAAATCTGCAGACTACATAGTTATTTGTTCTCCACTCTCACCACTACTGACTGGTTACCTGACCGTCGTAAAGATGCTAGGAAAAGTGTGAATTATGTGGATGCCATGTTGCCTGGTTATAGAGCAGCTAAGGATCTGTGTTGTAGTAGCAGCAAAGCCTTGGGTGAGTGGTCTACTTGTTTATGTTTTTGTGCATTTTATAAAGACATTATCTTTAGTATCTTGAAAGAGGAAGTTTTATTTTATGCTATTTTGTTTTGGAAACAGTACAAGATAATTGATGACATATATGTAACTTGTATATGATTTTGTTTACTAAAAAAGAAGTTTTAGAATTTTACAATGCATCTGACTCATTTTCAGATGGCAGTATTGACCAGAATCTCATTGGAGCCCATTTACTTGCCAGTGGTCATCTTCAAACCACAATTAAGGGTGATTCTCTCATGGTAAGCACTTGCTTTTTCGTCCCGAATTGTATTAGATCTTCATGTACCAAACAGAAGCTCGATGTATATTACTGAACATACTTTTAGAAGTTTTTCTACAGGATTTCATCGTTGTTACAGGAAGCAGACCCACTAGTGAGCAGGGCTGACAAACCGTATGATATCTATCACAACTCTAATGTCCCAGAGGTCATCCAGTGCAGGCCTGTACTAGAGAGGTTTACTGCTGGAGTTAAAGCACTGCTGAAGGACTGGCCTGACCATCCAACACTGAAACAGGTATTTTTTGTCTCAGTCAAGCCCAAAAGTATTAAAGCTTCTCCTTGTGAATGGTTCTGGTTCTTGCTACCTGTCCAGATCTTTCATAGTACTTGATGACATTGTCATTTTTTCTAGTTGATACAAAGTTACACTATACACGTTTTAACCTATTGTACCTTATTAGGTAGACAATTAAGAGGCAGGTTATTAAGATACACTGCTACTGGACACTACGGGTGTGACTGTACTTTTTCAGATCCTGCTGGTCATAGACCGGCTACTGTCCTTCCCTGTCACCAGTGCTCTGATGAAGTTTGTAACTGGACTGGAAGTCTTGTTGCAGAAAGCACAGGCAAGTAGAAGTGTTTTTGTAGGTGGAAAGGGGGACCGGTTCAGCATAATTGTTCCATTTCTATTGTGAGATCTGAATAGATGATACAGTATTCTCTCCCAGTAACTGGTGTATTAATATTTGTCTCTGTTTTTAGGAGTGGGAGTCCAATGCAGCCCGCCATGTTTCGCTGATAAGCCATATTGAAGAGGTCACAGCTCTTGTCATACAATGGAGGAAACTGGAGTTGAAGTAAAATTTAGATTGTTTTCTGTTGTTTCTTTTAATGAAATAGAAATTTTATCAAGTATTTGATTACATGTTTAAGATTTTTTCAGATCTCTGTTAATTTTTTTACTTGTTTTAATAGTTTAAAACTTTCAGTGTTTTTTTTATCTTGTTTTAGATGTTGGAGTTCTTGCCTGCATACAGTGATGTGGAAAGTAGAGGAGAAGACATCAAGATGGTGGTTTCACATTTACCAGCTTATTGAAGCCTTCCTGAGTCCTGATGAAGAGGTAGTGTAATTGCTCTAGCTTGATTGCTCTTTTTCCTTTTCTTTTTTATAAAACAGTTAATTATTTTTATATCATATATGATTTCTAGAATACAGGCCTGTATTTAACATTTTTTTATTTCTCAGATGCAGAAATTTTCATATTAAATAGGGGTTGACACATTGAGCACATTTTATGAAAAATGATTATATTTGTAATATTTTTAGAAACAAAGCACAGAAGATGGATTTGAGTTTCAAAAGTCACTGCAGCAGTTCCTGGAATCAGGCATTCTTGGAGATTACAAGGCCAGGTTGAACCTGTTGTATGCCTTCCACTGCCAGGTTGCTAACATGGACAGAACTCCTCAGCAAGGTGGAGCAGATATGATTGCCCTATATTTTGCTTAAACACTCAAGACACTTATATACTGAAATTGCTTTTGTTATCGAATGTTAGAATGAAATCCTACCAGATTCTGAACTAAACTAAGTGCATGTTTGTTTTGAACATATATTAATAAGTCTTTAAGATAAATTTATTGCAAATTAATCTGTTGCCATATAATAATAAATTTGCTTGACATGAAAGTAAAAATCGGGTCCGTATTTACTTATGGATTTTTATTATAGAGCTTGTGTTAAATCTGCTGTGGAATGTATACCAGTATTACTCTCAATTCTTGCCTAATGTGGAAAGACATCTGGCTCAGCTCAGGGCTCCTATTGAGAGAGACCTCAAGGTATGTGTCATGTTATTACTAACAAAGAGTTGAAAATAGGATAAAAACTTCTCAGCAGTTGCTATAAATAGTTTCAAATGATAATGTTCATAATGCTAATGCTCATTTTCGATACGTTCTTGGAAACTTCAAGATGTCAGAAAGTAAAACACTAAACTTTTTTTATTGTTACTGTATTTTTCAGGGTTTTGTTAAGATTGCTAGATGGAATGACAGCAACTTTTGGGCAATGAAGCAGGCAGCAGAGAAGACCCACAGGACTCTGCATAAATACAGGAAACAATTTGAGGTTGGCAACCTGCAAATTTTTCTAATATATTTTTTTAAAATCTTTCTGGTAATTTTATTTATATTGTATACACAATTGAAAACCTTCTGATTGATAAACCAAATTAAAGGTGACATTTGGCATCATTTTCAGACTGTAGTCCACCAGCCAGTGAGACTGTTGTTAACTGACACTGCTGATAGTGTTGAGCAGAAGACACCCTCAGATGTGGTTAGGAAACCCATTATAAACCACTTTATATCAGATGATACTTTGAAGGTATGTACTAATTGTGGTTTTTGTTTCAAAATTGTTGACACATGCAGCTGTAAATTGTGAGTTTGAAGTGTAATTTTATAATATTTTCCCCAGAAGTGAGACATCATGGCACAGATTTTGATATTTTCTTGATAAGGATAGAAGACTTGATCAGAAAAAGGTAGAAGAAAAAAGCAGTAACTGTTGAGATTTTTATCTTGCCATTTAGGTTTGGCTGAAAGAGGCCTCACTTTTGGACAGTGGTGGTACTGAAGATAGAGACTTGTTCTCCAAGCTTCCTGCCATGTATCAGAAAATGAGGAAGTTGTGCAGAAAGACCATGAGAGGCAGTTGCTATGGAGACATGGTTCAAGCTGTGGATGAGTTGACTGGTAGGCAGGATGTTGATAAAAAGTTCTTTTATGAACGAGTGTTCCCTGATTGTTTTGAACTGAGGATTTATTTTTTTAAAGTCCATAGATAACTTATAGTTGAGAATGTGAAAAAGTGTATGATATAAAAAGTAGGGATCTTTCATATGAGCATATTGCAGGTATGTTACTGTGTATATTTTGAAAAATGAGATTTGACCATGTTTATTTATCTTTTTCAGGCGATATAGTCAGCACTGTTCAGGAATTACAAGTTTTGGATGTAATAAAGGTGATAATGAAAAGCTTATGGAAAAGTAAATTTAATACATAGAATGTGCACTCAATAAATTATCTTTTTTTATATATTCATCTGTTATTTGTTGCTTGAAAAGATAAGTATAGAAATTTTATTCACAGCTTTGGTATTTGAGAAAATTTTCATTATTTTAATAAAAATTTCTTAAAAGATGTGAATGATGCATCAAAATTAATCTTCATGTTGTTAATATTGCAGGGAGATGATAAAGAGAAACAAAAAAGGGAAGCCAAAAACATCAACCTAAGAAAACGCAAGGCATTGGCTGACTTATTTAAGTACCTCACCACCATTGGTAAGTGACTTTGTATTATAAAATATTGCTTGGATGAAAAATCAGACTTGGAAAATACTTGCAAAAATAAGATAAAATAAAATAAATGAATTTGATATATTTGGAAGATATTGCCCTAAGTTTGCTTGGTTAATGAACAGTGAAAAGTATTACAGATATCATTTTCCAAAATGTTGGATTTAAGGTTAAAATGTACTCATATTTTTTTCTAGAAGAAGGTACTGCAAATTTGCAGAGTTTATGTTGGAAAATCTTTTATTTTAATCTCATTATCTAATTCCACGTTTTACACATTTCTTTCATTTTGTGATGATCCTCACAGAATCACAGGTTTAAACGTGGTTTCAGATGTGTTTCTTTTTTTTTGGCAGGTTTGTCCTACAGGAGAGGATTGAACATGCTCCAGACACCTGCAGATGTTGACAGTGTCATGAACAGCAAACCTCTTGACCTGGATGTAGCTTTAGATAATGATGTGGAGAGCAGGTTAGGTTTTGGTTTTTTCCTTTGAAGAAGGATTTCAGTTTTAAATGGATGGAAAAATCAAACATGAAGTACAACTCCTTGCTCATCTTTGAGTGTAGTTATTATTTTTAAATAAAATAACCCCCTCCCCCCCCCAAAAAAAAAAACAAAATAAAAATTTTAAAAAATAAGAAAAAAATTCATTTTGGAAAATTCTTCTGTTACAAGAAGTCAGTCTTTGTGGTTTCTGGTTAACCTCAAGATGTAAGACTATAATTTTCATGTAGATAGAAAACAAGATGGTAAACCACAACAGTTCTTCATGTTGTTATTCATCCCAAGCAAAGCATTACCTTTCTCATGTATTTGCTTGTTTTTGTTCTAGTTGTGATACGGATACTGTTCTCAGTTGGGCAGGTTGCCAAAAATACATTTATAGATGTGTTGCTAGGAGAGCTTTGTTCCATACTGCTCTACAGACTCCATCTCAGGTATGGGATATCTGTGTGTAGGTTTTAAAGCCAACTTGAAAGAATACTAGTAACCAAAAAGAAACACCTGGTAATATTTTTTGCATTAATTTAATTGCTGGTAATTATGTTTACATCTATATCAGTTATTTCAATGATTTTCTTAGAATCTCTGTTAAACAGATTTGCAAAAAAAAACATATGTGAATATATTGTAAGTCCTGATATTTAAAGCAAATATGTTTCTTTTCTGTTATATTCAACTCACATTCTCCACAATGCCAGTTTTATGTGGTTTACTTTTAGGCTGCATGGTCAAAATTGAACTGAGTTAAACAAGTGGAATTTGTTTTCAAATTTCATTGCAGGAATTGGGTGTTGCAAATTTAGATCGCTGCAAAGGGTTCACTGTACACTTGATGAAAGTATTGGAGCAGCAAAGAGCAACACTTGCCAATACAGCTGAACAGGTGGTAAAGTTAAGGTTAGTTGTGTAATCTGAATTAACAGCCCTTGAAAAGGAGTTAAGTTGAGATTTTCCTTGTGGCTGATGTGAAGTTTTTCATCACTTCTCCAGCAGAATCCAGCTCAGTTTTTTACTAAATGATTTCAGAATCATTTGTTGGTTTTTGAGTTGAAAGTAATTAGACAGGATATGTTTAGCAATTCATGCATTCACAAAAACGTGTGATTTGCTGAGTGCCGTTGATATATTTGTTGAAGCTAAATGCACGAATTCCCAGAGAGCTGGTGCAGCACATGGCATTTCCATCGAGCTGGGCTCTCTTGGCACTCTGGGATGCAGAACACAGTTGACCTTGCTCACAATTACCCTGAAACAATATTGAGATCACATGCAGATAAAATCTTTCTGGCAGGATCACTACTATAAAGGTTACATAACTTGACAATAGCAAAAAATTTCATGCTGCAGGTTTGTTTAAAGGGATAACAACTGTTTGTAGATTTATATATATTTTACCATAAAACACTGTAAACAACTCAGATATGAGAAACTCCATTTTACCATCAAAATTGTGGTTACTGCAATTATTCTGGAATCTGTGCTTCCCACCAGACCACATGGACCTTCATAATACCTCAGTAATAATCTCTTAAGAGTTTATTACAAAAAAACATTTACTAACTTTGAATGTCAGAATGGATTCATTTACCGTCAGTGATTATAAGTATGGGAAAATGGTTGTTTTCCCCAGGAAAATCTGATTTATGACCAAAAGAATCGGTTGTTATCCTTTTAAACAGGACGGATTGTGATTTCCATGTAATCTTTTTTAAAGAAATGTATTAACATCTAATTTGAGTCCAAAAAGAAGGCAACACGCCATTAATGAACAAGAATTTCAGATTGATTAAAAATTTTCATATTTCCCCTTTTTAAACGTTGTGATATGCTTTTAAGAAGAACCTAGTTTATTGCGATGACTTGAATATAACTACAGCCTTATATTGTGACATACCTGCACTTCATTTGTTAAAGCTGGGCATTGACAGGTGTTGAAGCTATACTGCATGTGAAAAAATTGGAAAGTTGTTGTTGTCACTTTGGGTTTCTCTGCGCAACCTGGGCAGCACACGTAACTGTTGCCAATTGCTTCTTTGTTGTCACACCCCTCGCAGTTCTGAGGATCTACATAACAGTTTCCTGACATAGAGCCACCACACTGGTTGCCTGCAATGGATGAAAATTCAAATTACCAGTCAAAAGAAAAGAAATGTGATTTTTACTTCTTGAATAAAGACATTGTCAAAGTTCATAATTTATCAAGTCAGTAGATATATCTTTTGAAGAGAGAGCGAGACACTTTTACAAACCACTTGTAAAATTTTACTCGAAAAAAAAAGTAAAAACTAATTAAAATGTAAGACTTTGTAAAGATGTAAAAACCTAAAAAAAGTTGCTAATGCCTATATGGTACTTACTGTTTGTTGAATTTTTTGCATCAAAAAACAGTACAATTAAATTATATCCAGTTTTTGGAAATGAAATTTAAATTACAAAATACTGCCAGAAAACATCTTGTAAGTTATAATTGTGCTACAGTATCCATACTGAACAAAATTTAAGCTAAGAGAACTCAACTTTGTGTTTTTATCATATGTACTTACCAAAGGCTTCATTTCTGCTTGCAGTCATTAGCAAAAAAGCCAGGGAGCAAATTACAAAATTGCACATCATTGCAACAATTGCCATTATGCATGTAACAAAACTGCGTAATAGGGCACTAAGCATGAAGCTCAGAGTATTTATAACCAGCAAATGACCTTCACTTCACCTTCACATGATCAACAACACTGACTCATGACAGGAAACAATTAATTTATCATTGTTTTTACTCACTATTTTCCAGTTTTTAGATCTTTAAATGAGGAGGAAAAATACCTAGGATGTGATTATACAGGATGTTTTTCCTTATCAGAAGTAATTCTATTTCTGACTTGAAATGATACTCATGAGGATGACAGTTTGTTTTAACCCTGTGTATTTTTAGCACTTAATACGTCTAAAATTTTGTTTAATGCAATTTTGTTTTTTGGGGGGGGAGGGGGGCACAAATGAGCAACATTTTTGATCAATCTCACATTACTCTCAGTGACTGAATGTAGAACTTCTGGAGTGGTGCACTTTTGTATGTTTGTCAGTTATTGAAGTATTTCTGATTTTTAAAAAAATGAACAAGCATGACTAAATGAGAGGAAGCATTACTTTACTTAGATTTCAAAGATTTTATTTTTTTCTGTTTTTAAAATGAATGGTAATTAAGTCATTCCAACTTATCATTTCCTAAAAAAAAAAGACTCAATAGATAATGACCAAACCACGAAATAGAACCACCCAATTATTTGTACCAACCACAAATTGCTTTTAATACTGTCTTATATTTGACCACTGCAAAAGTTACAGATAAAACTTATCCATAGAATTTATAGTTGATAAAGGCAACCCATAAAAAAATTCCCATAAAAGGCAGAGGGACTTAAACTGTTTTAATAAAATCATGGTAAGAAAGAAAAAATAACCTAGATGTACACTTCTTATTGCTTCTTGCAGGTGCTTTTACAGTACATTGTCTACTTGCCTGCCCAAACATCCTCTGCCTGAACAGGTACCTGCTTTACCAGACCAAAAGGATGCAGAACACTGGGTGGTAAGCATGCACTGTTATCAAATTTGGTACTTGGAAATAAAGGTGTTGAAATGATGATTTTATATCCATAATAACTTACAGTTAAAATGCTATATAAAATGTGAATTTTTTATAATATGCAAATGAAAGTTAAAATATGAATATTTCTACTTATGACAAACTTATACTGCACAGTCTGAAGATAGAAATGAATTGAACCAAATCACTTTCAGGGTGCTCTAGATGACCTGTTGATCACAGCCTGGGAGACCTTGCAGCAGGTCCATATTCTACTCCACTGCTGCCCAGAGAAATGTGCTGGGGACACTGTCTACCCCTCTGTGCTCCCCTCACAGCACCTAGCTGGCATAGCACTGATGTGCAAGGGGGATGGAGCATGGACTGAAACCGTGGACAAACTGCAGGTGAGATCAAAAATCCTCCTTTCAGGGAAAATAATTCAAATACCATGTTTTTATGTATTAATGATTGGAGATATTAAGAGTATTTAAATAAAGATATGCATCAAGAGGCCCACTGAATAAGTATAAAAAATTATAGATCTGAAAGTTGAATATGACTTTCATTTTTTTTTTTTTTTTACACAGATCATAATAAATAAAATAGAAGAAGTGACGAAAGAAGCAAGGACAGAAAATAAAGCTGAGCTGGTGTCGTTGTAAGTAGGATTTATGTATAATGCTTATATAATTACACTTACTATCCTAGCCTCTGAAATATGAACTTAAGCTTTTAATGTTTAATGGATTAAAACAGTGTAGAGTTCTGTTTTATCGTCTCTTGAGTGCACTTTGTATTAGTGAAGTATGTTTTTTAACAGACTGTTGGTGTGTGATAAAAACAGTCTGAAAGTTTTTTAAACTACATTTCAGAGGCAAAGTGGATAGAATTAGTACAGCATTTCAGCAACTGTCATCCCTAGTGCCAACCCTGAGTGAAGTAGCTGCACTATTTTCTGCTCCCGGTGGTGCTTTGAACAGTTTGAACAGCTCATTGAACTATTTAATACAGCAGATCACAAACACAGCCAATGCATACTCAGCTTGGCTAAACAAAGAAAGATCATGGGACGAATTCTCAGAGGAAACCATACAAGATAGTATCAGAACATTTAGAACTAAGTTGAATGATGTTATTACAACCATTCTGCTTGGTGTGCAAAATCTGGTGAAGTTAATAGGAAATGAAGCAATGGAAGAGGGTGAAGAGGAGAGAGAAGAGGAGGATGAGGGAATTGATTTGAAAGATGGTCATTTGACAGAACTTCAAGCAAAGTTGGAGAAAGCTGTTGAGAACATTGGAATGGAAAAGGTAAGTTGGAAATGGGTCAGGTTTCTTTTTCTAACATTCATCTGATAAACAGATAAGATTTTTTTCCATGGAATCACTGAATACCCCCCCCCCCCCCCCCAGTGTTTTGTTCCATGATAAATGTTCAGAAACTTATTGAACCTAGGTGCAAGTCTAGGAAATACATAGCTGTTGCTTTTTGTTCCCCCCTTGTGTCGTTTTCATTTATTGATTATTCCTTTTTCTGTGGTATCTAAAAGGCAAGGTCTGTTGATAAGATAATGAGTCAAAATAAAACAGCAAAACACTGAGATTAAGCAGATAATTTTGATTGTATGAATTTTTCCAACAGGTTGTCGCTGGTGTTCAGTCTCTCCTGGTTGAAGTCAAGACCACCCCAGCAGTATCACAGTTGCTGAACCCCAAGTGTGACCTCCTGTCTCTCTGTATCCCAGCACTGGACCAGTATACCAAGCTGGCACAGTATTATGTCACTGAAATGGCTGCCACTCACAGAGCCACAGCCAAACTGCTCTCTGTTCTACTGGGAGTGTTCACTGAGCTGACTCTGAAGGTGAATAAAACAAAAAAGTGCAAATCGTAAACTGGTTGTTTTGTCCTTGATTTTAGCTGAGTTAACGTCTGTGACAAATTAAGTTGTTAACTATCTTTATGATATGTAAATTTAACAGACATGAGCTTTTTCTGCGGAAACGTGGAATTCTGCATTTTTAAATTCAATTCTGATGGTTCCTGAGATTTGTCTTGTCTGAGATTCTATAAATGTTCAGAGTTTTTTTTAACCTAGGCTCATGTCTGATTTAAAAAGAAGTGTTGTGGGTTTGTGGCTGGATGCTTCCCATCTTTGCATGCAGAGGGATATTTGTATTGATTTTGTACCTTGTTTCAGGGTTTTTGCATTCCTCCTGAATTATCAGATGAGATGGAAGGAGAAGGATCCACAGAGTTCAGAGACATTGAGGGTGGTGGTCTAGGGGAAGGAGAGGGGGTCAAGGATGTCAGTGACCAGATTGAAACTGAAGACCAGGTATGAATCACACATTTCAGAAGTCTGCTCAATCTGTCAGCAGCTTACCATCAGTCAGTTTTATATATTAACAAAAGGTAGCTGCATTAAGTATGGATGTGGTTTATCACTTTACATTTATAATAACTACCTTCTCTGTATTTCTAGCTTTATGATGCACAGAAGGAAGGACAAGAAAAACAAGAAGAGGATACTTCAAATGAACCAGATTTAAAAAATGAAGAAAATGCAATAGAAATGTCTGAGGAATTTGGTGGGAAGCTGCAAGATCTGGAACCCCAAGGTATTACACAATAAATTACCATGTTAGTTTTAATAAGTTGAAGATGAGAGTGTAATTATGTATTGCTATAGAAAGCTACCCTTATGGCCAGATAGGTATATTTGTGTTTAAAGTCAAATTTGAGGCCTTGGTTCTTGTTTGTGGTCACAATTGAGAATATATTTTAAAAAGTTTTGTTATCCTTGTTTTATGTGTAGAGGGTGACAATGAGTCTGATGAAGATGAAAACGAGGAGAACGAACTTGACAAAGAGATGGGGGATGTAGACAACCCTGAGGCAGATAAGCTAGATGAACAGATCTGGGGCAGTGATGATGAGGATGATGACAAGGAAGAGGTCAGTAAAACATGGTCACTAGTGTGCTTGATTCACAGCAGTGTTTGCTCAGTCTGTGATTTCTTTAAACAGGATTTTCATGTTGGGTTTAACGAATTTAAAATGATTAAGCAGAAAGATGATTAGTTAGATGATTGATCAGAATAAATATGGTATAGTTTCTAAAATGTTTGTTACTTAGAAAACTATAGGCTTTAAACTGTTGTGTGTGAAAGATAGTTATGAACTGTTTCCTTGTTGTAGAATGATAGGGAAGAATCTGGAGAGGGAGCTGGAAAAGAGACAGAAAGTGAATTGGTTGCCAAGGATGACAACCAAGACAAGTCAGAATCCAGTGAGAAAGAAAAAGAAAAGGCTGAGGAACAGGATGAGAAGGAAGAAGTTGAACCTCACAAGATGGAGGAATTTGATGAGGTGATGATTGTGTTGAAGTTGCTAATATATATGGTAATGGACTTCTGTAAACTATGGTTTTAAACTACTTGCATCATATTTGTTTTAAATCTGTATTTCTTTTCATTTGTGTTGGTTTTTAAGTGTGTTGGGAAATCTGATATTTGAGGTTGATGTTCATTTCATGATGACCCATACTGTGCCAATTACAGACTGAGTATGATGAAGAGCAGGTGGACCCCCATCATGGCCAGCAGCCTGAGCAGCCAGATGTTGAACCCATGGATCTGCCAGATGATCTCAAACTGGATGAGGAGGAGGAAGAGGAAGGAAAGGAAGGTGTTCAAGGTGAAGGTGAGCCTTTCATAGTTCTGTGGGAAAATGGTGAAATTTTGATTGAGGCAATGATAGTAAGCAGAATTTTCAAATAGTTTGGTTTGAAGTGTGTTATAGTAAAATCCTATACATGTTTACATGTTTAAAGGACATCATTTGATCTGATACACTGAAGTAACATTACAGATTTATTGTGAGAAAATGAACAGGAGTAATTAAATGTCAATTAGTAAAAATAAGATGATTTCTTTGTTTCATCCTACTCCAAAACTTGTAGAACATGTATTGACGGAATCTCTTGTCCTGTTAGCTTTTTACAGCAGATTAAAAATTAATGATGTTAAATTACAGAAGAAAATCCATTTGACTTGGATAAAGTCACAGATATAGATGAAACAGAAGACGACAAAGAAGAGAAACTAGAAGACCAGGAAAACAAAAGTGAACTGGAGCAGGAAAAAGAAAATGTGGAAGTAAGTTTTTGGGAGGGTTATTATAGATTTGAGGATCATTATTTTTTAATGTGGTCAGTCAGCATATCATAAGATTTGTTTGCTGTTACTGCCTATTTTAATTGCTAATAGTAAAATATGTCCTCTCTATTTAGAATATTATTGAGTAGCAGTGCTTTGTGTCAAGCTTTTGCATTGAAGGACTAAACACTTTTCAGGGCATGGAAGAAGAAAAAGAAAATGAAATTGCCAAAAGTGAAAGGAGTGAGGAAAAAGATGAAGAAGGGAGACCAGATGATCAGCCAGGAATGGAACCACAGGTATACTGACAATGAATGAATCTGATAGTTCAGCAATCCATATTGGAATTACTATTTAAAATTATGCTCATCTGTTTCTTCAGATCATGTAAATAATCTTAGGTAAGTAATTTGTATGGTTCTGTCGCAAAATTTACTTTATTCCACATGAGAGCAGTCCTTTTTCTCAATCAAAATATAATTTATCTTGTCTCATGTTTAAATGGAAAATTCATAAACCTACTTATCTTATCTCAGGATGAGCCATTAGGTACTGAGCAGAATGAAGAAGAGGACAAGGCTGGAGAGGAAGAGGGAGCAGATGACCAAAATGTGCAGGCAGCAGAGGCTTATGGGAAGAAGGAGCACAATGTGCAGAGTACAGACCAGACTGAGGCTGCCCAGGACAAGGCAGCTCAGGGTGAAAATCAGCAAGAAGAGGTGAGCTCTGGGAACTTCATGGGTTTGGGTCATAATTTAGAAGACCTAGGTCTTGCCACTACTGTTCATTCAAAATAACTGATTTGTTAAAATTGTAAAGCTTAATTGACATAGTGTAAAGATTCATTTTCTGGTGTTAAGATATTTTAAGAATCATAAAAATCAGTTATTGCATCAAAAAATGTTTTACTTCATTACAGAGATTTTTTCTGGAAATTGGTTTGAAAGTAATTTTTTGACAATTTATTTTTAGACTGAAGGTGTTGGCATAGCAGAGTCTCAGGAGGAGCAAGGTCATGAAGGTCAAACTCAGAGCAAGGTCACTCAAGGAGGGACAGGGGAACATATGAAGGTGAAGAAAGCTGTTTCTTTTCAGTGTGTGCTAATGCAGGTAAAAAAATGACAAGATGTGAAAATGGATCCAGCAGTTCAATAACTTGATTGCCATGAATTGAAGATTGACTAGAAGTATATTTTACATGGTGTTGGTGTGTTGCCATGTTAATCTTTTGTCACTCTCGTCCATATTCCCTCTCACTAAATGGTACAGCAAGTGAGGCAATTAATTAGAAAATTGTGCTAGTTATTTTTTTGAAAACATTTTATAAGCAATACAATTTTTTGTCTCACAGGAGCAGCGTAAGCCTGGGCACAGTGACAGAGAGCGCAGTCTGGGGTCAACAGAAGACAAGTTTAAGAGGAGACTACAAACCATGGATCCTTCCAGTAATAGCCAGGATGAAGACCAGGATCAGGTAAAATCTTTTAGTAATAAAATTTAATCATAATAATATGCAAATGGTTTTCTAAAATATGGGTTGCTACCATGATGTTAAGGGTATTCTGAGTATTCCTCCTTTACTTTCCCCTTAGTTAAAAAGCCAAGTGCATCAACCTTCATTTCATATTGTGCAATATGATTTTGTCTTTCCAAAAAGTTATGAGAAATTTGATTATTTTTGCTTCAAACTACCATCCTTTCTCAATACAGGACAAAAATGAGCAGGCAGATTTATTTGAACACCTGAAGGATTCTCAGAAGCACTATGATGCCCAGACACTGGATGCTGCTACTGCTGAACAGCTGGAGCAGCAACCCATTCCTCAGCTTGATGAGGAGGAAGGAGAAGAAAAAGTAAATGAAGATGATGAAATGAAACCCTTGGATGATACTGATCATCAGGTTAGTTGTCCTGACTGATGAAATAATTTCAAAGTTAGCATTTATTCAGTTTTGGAATGCATGTAAGTTTTATTTTTCAATGAGGGAGAAATACAAATACCAATTTTTCAACCAAAAATACTTATGTTTTTAATTCTTGCCAAGTGTCAGCTTTTCTGTGTAATCATTTTAGTATGTCCAATTTACTCTCCTTTGCATTCCCTTTTTTTTATTAAATCAATTTTAGGAGGAAGACAAAAAGGTTGACAAGCTATCATCTGCTAAATTGAGGAAACCAGATGGAGGCAATGATAAGAGAGAAAATGAGGAAGGAATGGATGTGGATGAAGAAGGTCAGACAATGGAGACCAGTGGAGAAAAAATTGAAACTGCCACAGTTCAGCGACCCATGGAGTCTTCCATTCACACAGCCTTGGAGCATTTGCATTTAGAAACGGTAACCAGCAGTTCTGCATTAACATCCATGTTTGAAATTTTTTTTAATATTTTCATTGCCAGTTTATCCTTTCACTCGTTGTAGAAGATTTTGATAACTTTCAGAATTATTACAGTCTAAAAAGTGCACTTTATTGGGGGTCCATTACCTTCAGTGATATTTCTGTTTTTTCAGGCCCAGGAAGCAGATCTGGAAAGTTTAAGAAGAGAACTTGAACAGCAGTTGACCACATGGAGCCACCCTAAACCAGGCTCAAGAGAAGAGGTAAGTTTCAATCCAATAAATTGGTCTTAGTGGCTGTTAAATTATTAAAAAAAAATTGAAATGGTGAGGAGAAGCAGAAAATTAGGGAGGGGGAAAAAGATTGGTATTCCTATTCTTTAGTCACCTTCAAACCATATTACTTTATATATTTTATTTTGGTCCTGCAGGAGCAGCAGGCACAGGAGGCCTGGCAGAGATATGAAATGCTGACCAGCAGTTTGTCCCAGGAACTGTGTGAACAGCTGAGGCTGGTTCTGGAACCATCTCAAGCTACAAAACTCAAGTAAGTATCAGTAGCTTCACTTCACACTTCTGTTGACCAGTAATAGTGTCCAAAGAAATCTTTTTTAGAGATGGTGAATGAGAGGTTAAGGAAATTTTATATGGTAACAGTTGATCAGAAAGAATATTTTTGATGCTTTCAGGGGAGACTATCGTACAGGCAAGCGACTCAACATGCGCAAGGTGATTCCGTACATTGCCAGTCAGTTCAGGAAAGACAAGATCTGGCTGAGGAGAACCAAACCCAGCAAACGTAACTACCAGATTATGTTAGCAGTGGACGACTCTTCAAGTATGACAGACAACCATTCTAAACAGGTATGACAAGCTGTGTATGTTATCATTACTGCAGTGTTTAAAACAAAGCATTTTTTTCAAGGCTGATAATGATCATGTTAAAAGACTGATTTTACACTTCTTCAGAAACTTGTATGACATTGTAAGACATTAACAAAAAAACTCTGGTTGTGTCAGATCTCTACAGAATTTTGTATTTTTATTACTACAGCTAGCCTTTGAGTCTTTAGCTGTTATTGCTAATGCCCTTACAACCCTGGAGGCAGGAGAACTGGCAGTTAGCAGGTAAAATGAAGTTTTTCTTCAAAAATATCTCATTGAACAACAAAAAATAATAAGAAATACTGTTTTGGTGAAATTTACACTTTTAAAAAATGTTATATTTGATAAAAATTGTATTAGCTTTCAAACAAAAAGTTTCCTGTAAGTTAAATATCTGTTGTGTTTTATAAAGATTTTGCAACACGTTTTTTTTTTTTTTTTAATTTTCTTGTAGTTTTGGTGAGGTGGTGAAGGTTTTGCATCCTTTCCAAGAGCAGTTTTCCAACCAATCAGGTGCCAGGATCCTGCAGCAGTTTACGTTTGAGCAGAAGAAGACCAAGATTGCACAGGTTACTTTATATTAAAATCTCAGAAACTTTTTCGTCATTTTTTTTTCGCTAATTAAAAACATTTTATAGAACCTCAACCAGAAATGTTGTCTTCATTGCTAACTTATAATATAATACTATTCTAATACTGATACATTCTCATATAAAATTCATACCTCAGTTCGGTGTCCATAGATTACAGTTTTGGAAGAAATTTGAAATTTCAGTAAAATGCTAAGCACACACTTATTAGGTGATTACAGTATTTGGTACTTGAAAGCAAGGCATCATCTGTCCCTATTTTAGCTCTTAGACCAAGCCACAGGTATAATGCTGAGTGCCAGGTCCAGACAGCAGGGTGTGGTCACTAACATAGAGACCTCCCAGCTCCTGCTGGTGGTCTCTGATGGGCGTGGCCTGTTCCTGGAGGGTATGGAGGTTGTCAAGCAGGCAGTCAGGAGGGCCAGGGAGGCCAATGTGTTTGTGGTCTTTGTGGTCATAGATAATCCTCTCAATAAGGACTCTATACTGGACATAAAAGTGCCAGTGTTTAAAGGACCTGGACAGGCAAGGCTCAAAGATTAAATAGCAAACAAAAGTTTTTTTTTCAGTTGTGAAACATACTTCACGTTGTTGAAATTAGAATATCAGCATATCCATTCACCTTATTAAGAAACTACTTGAATATCATTAATTTGAAAGAAGGCCCAAGTTAAATGTTTCCTATATTGAGTATTACTAAATTGAGAAATGTTTATCTGCAGATTTGTGAAATTAGAGTATTGTATTTTCAGATTCCTGAAATCAAATCTTACATGGACCATTTCCCTTTCCCATTCTACATTATACTGCGAGATATCAACTCTTTGCCCCAGACTCTGAGTGATGCCTTAAGACAGTGGTTTGAACTGGTCACTGCTGGGGACAGCTGAGGACGGGTCACTGGCAAAGGACATACTATATATTATGTGGTTTTGACTCCTGGAGGGATGGGACAGGAAGAAGAATATATCGTATTAATTTTTGGAACATCTTTCAGTATGTCTTTTTATTGAAATATTGCTGAGAATGATTTTTGAGTCACTGCTTCAGTCCAGATTATTGACAAGATTTAAAATTGCTAGACTGCTTTATTCTTTAATAAACAATTGCCAAGTTAAAACGCATGATTGTGTTGAAACACAGCTGACAGTAATTTTGGAAACATTGTTTTATGTGGTAATATGAATACTGTGCAATTGATCGTGGCATTGCTGAATGCCTCATATATTTTAAATTAATGGATTTTACCCACCAAAATTTTTCGGGGAAATGCGCAATTTTCTCGTATTCCTCAATCATTTATTTATCCCTCTCTGCACTTGAGTCCAACCTTAAATTAGATTTATGAAGGTTGATTTAGTTAACAAGGCAGCAAAGCTGTCAAATGTACAGACAAAAAACAGAAAATAAAGATGCAAAATAGGTCATTTTGTCCATTTTGATGCAATAATAAATAATGCTTATAATAGCACTGTCAGTCAACACTGAATTTTAATATTGCACAACAGGTAACATGGTCAATAACAGGAGTGGACCCAGAGATATTGCAAAATTTACC